TTGATGCGTAAGGCGTATGATAAGATGGCGCCAGCGACAGGAGTGGAGACATCTCAACGCGAAGCGGCGAACTTTTCAACAAAAACAGTTATTTTTCAAAAGGTGTAAGTGGTAATTTCAATAATAATTAAAATTTAGCGTTAGACACATTTATATTATAAAATATATCTGGTCTATTCCTAATAGATTGTGCTATCTAGACAAATATTATGATTCTCCTGATGCTACCGTTGATGCATTTAATTCTTACTTTATTAGTGTTTATCAGCCTAAACTTGACATACCCCTTTTATTTGATCATAATGATTGAATCATGATTGATATAGGTGTAATTGATTCTAGTACTGTGCAACTTACAATAGCAAGTTTTAAGAACTCCAAAATATTTGGTTTCGATGGTATTCCATCCTTCTTTACACGCGATTGCTCATCTGCTCTACTTGCATTTTTATTTAATCTATCATTGTATACAAACACTTTTCCAAATTGTTGGAAAATTGCACGATTAGTTCCAACTTTTAAACAAGGCGATACATCAAACATTACTAATTACAGGCCGATATCATTATTATCAAACTTTGCTAAGGTACTTGAAAAAAATATTTATAGAGAACTATAATTCGTTCTGTTAGAACTTTATTTTCTACTAATCAACATGGATTCAAGCCTTCCCGTTCTACGATAACAAATTTAATCTGTATTAAACAATATATAGCTGACAATCTCAACACTAATGGACAAGTTGATGTTATTTACACTGACTCCAGTAGAGCTTTTGACAAAATTGATCATAACATTCTTCTTACTAAATTATCTAAGATTGGTCTTAATTCTTCACCTGTTTATTTTTTAAGAGTTATCTTCATAATCGTAAACAGTTTGTCTATCTTAATGGATTCTTGAGCAATATTGAAAATATCAGTTCGGGCGTTCCTCAGGGATCCATTCTTGGTTCACTACTATTTATTATTGTTATAAATGACATATCTGATATTATTAGCTGTCCATATTTATCATTTGCAGATGATCTCAAAATAAATTCTATTGATGACTGCTTATTATTACAGTCTCAACTTGACTCTTTGCACTCTTGGTGTGTCTATAACAAATTACATTTAAATATATCAAAGTGCAAGATTCTTAGTTTTTCACATAAGCGCGTTCCAATAAATTTTGATTAAAAAAATTCTAACACCTGCATTGATAGATGTAATAAAATTTCAGATTTAGGAGTTTTATTTGATTCTGATTTGTTTTTCACGGATCATATAACTGATATTTGTAATAGAGCACTTAAATCTTTAGGTTTGATACTGAGAAATTGTAAACAATTCAATTCTAGCAATGCACTTTTTTGCCTGTACTATTCTAATGTACGTTAAAAAATTAGAATATGGTTTGATTATTTTGTATCCTCATCAAATCAACAACTCTGATGCGATAGAGAAGGTTCAGGGAATATTTCTGAAATATCTTTATTATAAAACATTCAAAATTTACCCTGAACATGGCTTTGACCACAACACTTTACTAAAAGAATTTGGTATTCCTTCCCTTGCCTAACATCGATTTATCTGTACAATTATGTGCTCTTATTTAAACTTCGCAATAATTATATAGACTGTACGCTTATTCTTAACCAACTATTCTTTATTGTTCCAATTATTTTTCAATTATCCTACACCTAAATCTAATTCTCTCTTAAATTCTCCTATTTTACTTATGTCCTCTAACTTTAACTTAATTAATAATGAGATAAATATTCACAACACTTCACCTAATAATCGAATAATCTCCATCTGCACAAATTAACCTTTTTATTTTCTTTTCAAATATCTCATTATTTTATCTTATTCTGTTTATAAATAATATTGTTACATTCTGCATTATATGTAATTTTATGTTAAGCATTTTATGTTAATAACTATATATTGTAATTTTGTATATATTTTAATTGTTATTCATTATGCAAAATAATTGTATTGTGGGCTATATATTTAAAATAAATAAAGCATTTTGCTCTACCAAATATTTGTGATGATTTTCTACACGCAACTCAAATTTCTGTAGAAACAAATTTATATAATTTTTATGTTTCTGCTGTTGGATTTTAAAAAAGAGTGTGAGTAAGGTTCACACGCGAATGAAGTAAAACTTTTTTGCTATCGTACGAGATGGCATGTCAGTTAAAACTAAATACATAATATAACAATTTTGAATAACGTTTGTCATTGTAATTAGCATTTAGAATGATCGGTTTGTCATTGTAATTAGCATTTAGAACTTGAATTAATATTCGAGAAATGAAGTAATTGCTGATTAATAACTTCTATAATATTCGTTCACACAGTGGACAGCTCTAATATAACAATCTTGAACAATTTCATTAACACTATCAATAAATAAACCCCACAGGACGTTAAAAAGTAACCTTTTTGAGAAGATTCTAATAACAATTATGACTCAATTGCAAGCCTTATTAAACCTGGGATAAATATAGAATATTATTAACAAAATATTTACACAAGTCATTGATAACCATGTTTATTTATTTGACAATATATATATATATGTACATATATTAATTAATTCATACATCTTTAATTTAACTAATTAATTTCTATAAGCAGTCGTATGTAACCTTTTAACTAATTTTGTAAATACTAATTACTCATTGGTATGAGCAACCATGTGCTTTTTCAGGCTACTTGATTGTTTGAATACCTTATCGCAGATTTTGCATTTGAAATGGCACTCTTTAGTGTGAATGAGCATATGTCTATTCAAGTGAAACGATTGTATGAATGTCTTGTCACAAATTTGACAAATGTGAGGATATTTGCCAGTGTGAATGACCATATGTCTGTTCAAGGTACTCGATTGTGCGAATGTCTTATCACAAATTTGGCAAACATGGGGACGCTCGACAGTGTGAATGAGCAGATGTTGATTCAAGTTATTCGATTGTGTGAATGTCTTATCACATATTTGGCAAATGTAGGGACATTCACCAGTGTGAATAAGCATATGTTTATTCAAGTGAAACGATTGTGTGAATGTCTTATCACAAATTTGACAAATGTGGGGACGTTTGCCAGTGTGAATGACCATATGTCTGTTCAAGCTACTCGATTGTGTGAATGTCTTATCACAAATTTGGCAAACATGGGGACGCTCGCCAGTGTGAATGAGCAGATGTTGATTCAAGTCTGACGATTGTCTGAATGTCATATCACAAATTTGGCAAATATGTGGCCGTTCGCCAAGGTGAATGAGCATATGTCTGTTCAAGGAACCCAATTGTGTGAATGTCTTACCACATATTTTACATTTTTTAGGATGTACCCCATTGTGAATTATCATATGTCTGTTCAAGGTACTCGATTGTGTGAATTTCTTGTCACAGATTTGGCAAACATGCGGACGTTTACCTGGCCCCTTTGCAGTATGAGAGCGAATATTTCGTTTTTGATTACCAGATTCATTCAAATGTGAAATTTGTTCTCTTGCTGGAGCACAAATGTGTTGATCTAAATGATATTGTTCAGTAAATGCTTCATCACACTTTGTGCATGTGAAATGTTTTTCACCTGTATGAGATTCTATATGTATTTCTAATGCACATGCATCTGGTAAAGTCTCTGAAGAATATGTATACTTCTGACAATAATTCACCATATGCTGTTCCAAATAAAGCAACTTTCTAAATGTTCTATTACACTTGTCACATTTATAAGGAGCAGTCTGAATTAATTCCTGTTTGACTTCTTCTATTTCTACTATAGAGTTCATAAATCTCGTTAGACATGTTTTGTCATCCTCTGAACGCGATTCATGATCTTCCTCCATTTCCTGTTTAATGTCTTCGATTGGATATTCTTGCGGTTCAATTTTAATTATCGGATCATTAGCAGCTTCAGACATTTTGAGATATTTGTGCACCGATTATGTTCTACAAGCATTAACAAAAATAGTTGGTTAGTTTAAATGAACTATTGTTAAATATGATATTTAATTTCACTAAAAATATAAATTAAAACATTAGCTGTTGACAGTTGGAGCATGGACTATAACTTTAGAGAGTGCACTGCATTTATGCTCTCGTAACATTTTTCAGGAATGAATGTTTAAATTAATAATCATTGTAAACTGTCAACACAAATGGTTCTGAGAAAATAATATATTCATATTATGGCGTTGTCTACGAATATAATCTTACGTTAATTTAACACAAGTGTATTTTGAATGATGTATGTCGCCAAGATAATTCCTTCTTTAAAATAGTTAATATTTGACGGACAGTAAATATGAATCAACTATTGTTCAAAGCTTTTGCCTTATTGCGGAGCTGAAATGTAAAAGGTGAAATTAAGCAATAATTTTGCATTATTTTAAGTTAAATATTTATAGTTCTTTCTAAATAAAATCAATATAACTAAAAGTTAAACACGTGGAAGAACCTCAAAGTATTTTACACTACCTTTATGCTTATCAATCACAAAATCAATCACAAACACGTCTTTATAATATACAATGTTATAATTAAACTGAAATTTATATATAATATATTTATGATGACATTTAATTAACAATTAAATAAGCTAAACACAAAATGTTCTTTCGGTACATTAATTTGTTTGACAGTTGAACGAAGTTCTTTCGTAACATTGCCTCGCTCTAATGTCACTAGTGCCAACCGTATGAGCATAGATGAATAAAAATAAATAGATCGCCATCTCATGCATTTGACGTTACCATAGATAAACAAGTTAATATATACAGCGCTCTGAAGAAGGCGGCACTTGTACAGTATATCACATAGATAAATACGATAAATTAGCATATATATATAAAGGCATATAACTTGTTTACTTATTTATGGTATATAAATTAATCGCTGGCATTATTCCTAGATATGGTTCGTATACGTAATTCAAAATAAGAAAACCTAAAAAGTTTCATGATGATAATAGGCATCGGAAAAAAGAAAGCACACGAATAAGAAAGTTATTTTTGTTTAAATTTCGTTTTAAACACTTGTGATGCACATATTTATTAATGCCAACCATTATACACATTTATATAATGATAAATTATAAATTATGTATTTATAATAGCATTAAAAATATGTATAATATTTAAAAACAATAATGTAATTAAGGTCATACTTCAAATATAACATGATCGGTTTGTCATTGTAATTAACATTGAAATGAACCTTTATTAGAGAAATGACGTAAATGCTGATTAATGAATTCTATAATATTCGTTCACACAGTGGATTATGTTAAACCACGCCTAAACAAATATTGTTTTATCCAATTCAATCATCATGTAATAATTGTGTTTAGAGAACTTCATGTAATTAAAATTAACATACATTCATTGACTGCTTGTATTTTGTTTACTTTTTCGCTGTCGATACAGTCTCATTCTTGGAGAAGCTGTAGTATCTGTCTTACCCATAATTAATATAATTTCAATTTTTGACCTCTCAAATATATAGTAATTATAAATAATACAAATTACTTCAATAAGCTTACGCTTTTTACACGTCAGATTTTTCATTTGTTTTATTATTTTCACTATTCAACCATTAGCACTCGACTCGAGCGTAACGTTTTTTCCGTTGCATTTGCACAGATTTACCCCCTAGTCGAGCCTAAAGAAGTTTTACTTCAAATATTTTTAATTTATATTTTGACGAAAGGTCAAAAATTGGCTCACATACTTTTTCCAAATTTGGTCAGAGAGTTATGAAATCTAAGATAAAAATTTAATATTTTCTAAAAATTTGTTACGTCCTCAGAATATTGAAACATTTTAGAAAATATCTTACTTTTTTAAATCTGTTCAAAAATTTATTTGCAACTATTATTTTTTTTGAAAAATTATAAAACTATTTGAAAATTGCATATTTCCAAAAAAATTGAAACCTTTGTTTTCTAAACCATTCAAGTATTAATTTTTCTAATTTAATCTAATTTTTCCAGAAAGTTATAAAATTAGTTAAATATTTAATATTTTCAAAGAATTGAAACTTGTATTTTCTGAAAATTTAAACAGTTTATAAAATTTGTCAGTTTTTAAATCTCTTTGAAAATCATTTTTTAAAAACCTGGATTTTTCAGAAATTTAAAAAATGAGTTAGAAATTATAAATGTTGAAAATTCGAAACTTTAATTTTATGAAAATTTGAAACTTCCTAAATATTTAAATATTTTAGATTTTTTTGCTGTTTTACATCTTTTCAAAAATTATTTTTCCAAATCTTTTGTTTTTGTCTTAAAATTAGTTGAAAAACTAGCTGTAAGTGGAATTCTGTCTTAAGGCAATTAAGGCATCGTGCCTTGAGGCAAATTGCTGGAACTTCCCGTACCAAAAATTATTATTTTTTTAAAAACGATTAACATTTTTGAAAAAATTTTACTTCGAAAAAATAAGATTTTTTAGAAATTTTAAATTGGACAAAAAATTACTTTTTTTGAAAATAAAATTTTTTTTTAAAAAAAAAATTTTAAACAATTTTTTTTATAAAAATTTTTTTTTTGGAAAAAATGTTATCTTCATTTTGATATATTTTGGAAGATCTGAACTTTTTTTCAAAGCAATCATACTGCTTTAACTGCATAGAGACAAAATATAAAGCGCGTAAGCGCCGCGTCGCTGTCTAACAGAAAAACAATGGTACGGAACCCATAGGAATGTAAACAAAACTTATACTTATTGTAAAAATCTCAATAAAATATCTGATAATTTGATATGCATATGTCTAATGTCTAATGATTATTGTTGACCGCCAAATGTTATTTTTTTTTAGTTTTTTTTTTACTAGATCTCCGAAACCGCTGGTCCTATCTTCATGAAAATTTGATCAAATCTTCATCTTGTTAATACAAGTAAAATGTTTTTTGAACTATACAAATCGAACGCTCCGCTCTCTTAAAAACTAAGTTACCGTTTTTGACCCTTTTTGCCCCATATCTTCGGAACGGCTAGAATGTTTTTTGAATTATTCAAATTGCTTTATCCGTGTTCCCGAAATCGTCGACGAAAATTTGTATCCGAACACACACACATACATCAATTTTCTCCAAGGTATGCCAACATATTCAGAAACCTCTGAAACGTGAAGATATATAAAAATTTTCATTTTCGATTTTTTTGCGATTACTTACCCTATGGAAAGTTAATTATAAATAAATCAATTTATGATCTCCAGAACATTAACAATCGTCATTTCATTTCGAATCAAATTCCAAAAAAAAAATAGTTGCCAAATTTACACAAAATTGAAAAAGTGCTCCCGCATAGTCACAGTCTAAACGCATTTGCAAATAATTCTGTGCGACATTTTCACTTATACTGTGCTCAGTTTGGCGGCATTTTCACATTTTTCAATAATTCTCACAAAATTGGAAAAGTGCTCCAGTACACAAACAGTCTAAACGCACTTGCGTAAACATTTCTACCAGAGTGGCGCTTAGACTGTGCTTAGCTTGGGTGATTTTTTGAATTTTTAGTCCAAAATTACAAAAAAAAATTTTTGAAAAAAAATTAGAAACAAAAAATTTTTTTTTTCCAAAATCAATTGTTTTGTTGAAAAAAGCAGAAAGTTCTTTGAATCATTTAAATCGGACGCTTAGTTCTCTCAAAAACAGCCATTTTTTTAAATTTAGCTCTGTAACTCCGAAACCTCTGGGCCTACCTTTGCCAAAAACTAATCAGCACATCTCCCTATCAATAGGAATCGAATGTTTTTTAACCATTCAAATCGGTTGATCCGTTCTCTCAAAAATTCGCTTTCTTTTTTTTGCACTCTTTGCTCCATATCTCCGTAACGGCTGGACCTACCTTTGCCAAAAACTAATCAGCACATCTCCCTATCAATAGGAATCGAATGTTTTTTAAACCATTCAAATCGGTTGATCCGTGCGTCCGAAAACGTGGACGAAAAAACGCGGACATACAAAACACACACAAACACACACACACACACACATCCATTTTTTCTGAGGTATGCCAAAATGTTCAGAAACCTTCAAAACGTCGAGAAATGTAAAAATTTTTGATTTCGATTTTTGGACGATTACTATAACTTACCCTACGGGAAGTTAATAATATTTTCAAACAATTAAAATTTTGTTTTGTAAAAATATGAAATTTTCAGAATATTCAAAGATTTTAGAAAATTTTGTTATTGTTGTAAAATATCTGAAAATTGTATCTTATTTCAAATTTATAATTTTCTTTGAATGTTCTTAAATTAATTAAAAAGTTTAAATTTTCGAAATTTTCATCTCCGTTTTTATAAAGTAAATAAAACCACTTATCAAAATTAGAAAATTTTCCGAAATTTAAAGTATACTTTTCTAAAAATTGCAGTCAAAACCACGATGAAAAAAATAATGTATCATTTCAAGAAAGTCATCAGAATTGTTAATGACAAAGCCTCCAATAGAATAATATCTATATTTCATTTAAAAACTTAAAATTATATTCCACAAGAATTCATATAAATACACATAGTTACAAATAAAATTGTAAAAAAAAAATTAGCTACATGTGGATTGCTTTAGTAATTATATAACAACACTGGTGTCTTTGTCCCAAACATCGCACCTCATCGAATCCAAATTCTCAACATCAGCATTCATAGCCTTGGGTCTAAAAGTCGGTATTCTAGAAACACCTTTAACAACCTTCTTAGGACTCTTCTGTTTAGCCGATAAATCATTAACCATTGTGAGATGGGTATCGACATTGCGCAAACAGGATAAAGGAGTCCTGGGATTAGTCAGTGCCACTTTTGTTTTTTGCTCTTGTTGTGTATCCGATTTGGATCTTAAATGTGTCGGTTTGTTGCGAACACAAGATAAGGGTGTGCGACCGGAAGACGATAAGGCTTTTCTTGGAGTCACTTTGTAAAATTCTTTATCTTCATAAACTTGGTTGACACGGTTGATGTTCTTGCCGTACTTTTTGGCAAAGTCTTTTTTAATTTCATCCAACTTTGTGGATTTGATTACAATTTTGTTTTCAACATCGGATGTGGATATGTTTAAAATATTGTCTTCGCCAGGGGACTTGCTTAAATCTTCAGGCGAGAGGCAATCTAAGAAATTATCAGACTCGAGAGGTGTTTTTTCAATTTCGTTTACTATCGTCACTTTGTTAGTTTCATGCACAGGTGTTAAAAACTCAGCAGAATCATCGTTTTGCAAAATAGGAGTCCTACAAAACTCTGTACTTGGACTTCTAGGGTCAAACAAGTCTGACTTAAGGTGTGGGGTGTTAAAAATACTCTTTTTAAGCTTGGGGACAGCATCCAGGTCAGTCTCAATGCAATCTAGGTTAGTCTCTAAGTACGACTTTCTACTTTCATTGGCACTACACAATGACTTTTCATCAGTGTCATTTAACAGTCTTTTCGGTTCTAATGTGATGCAGGATATATTATCTACGACGTCTTCTAAAACTACTTTAGCTTCAGGTTCTACTTTAGCACCTAACACGATTGGAGTTCTATCAATATTCGCACTGGGTGAACGTAAGTCTATGTTGGCACCAAGACGGCCCCTCAGGAGAGAATTGAGCATTCCTTTAGTCTGCACTTTTGCTGGTGTCGAGAATGTGTCGTTTAAGTTCTGTTGCTTTGTGATTCTTGGGATGTTTGAACGTTTTTTGGGACTCCGAAGCTAGAAGAGATTAACGACTTCACAGTGGAAAGGGGACAAGAGTTCGGTTGACATATGAATTAATAACTTAAATAATACAATTTGCATGAGCATAACAATATGTAATATGTCTTTTACCCTTACCTGTACTGGTGTTCTAGATATTTCAGCAGTAGGCGACCTAGGATCGAGTTTAAGTACATTTTCACTTCCATCATTGGTCAAATCCAACTTTTTATCTTGCTGTTTTGTACTCTGTACATTGCCCATCTTTTCCCTCCAATAATTTTCTGTTTACACTCAATATTTTTCTTAACAAATACTTCCCGGTGTACTGCTAAATGTACTCAATATTTATGACTACAAATGAAGGCCCTACGAGTTCGATAAATAACGATTTTTTAAACAAAACACTGCTACATGACATATCAACCATCAACGGCCATTGTTATTCAAACATCTGTACGAAATGTTTCAATGCAATGAATAACGTACGTTTTAAGTTCGAAACTAGGCGGGAAGATGGCAGCACTGATTTTCGGCGGCGAATTTAAATTTGAATATATTTAAATAAATATGAGTATAATTTTGTATAAATACAAAATTAACTAGTTGGTATTTGTATTTAGCCTTGAGGCAAGTTACATGAACTTCCCGATATGTGTAAATAATCAAGTACTCTATCGTTATACCAAGTAAATCGTCTAATTTAAATTTTAACAAACGTCAAAAAAACTACTCATTTTTAAAACTAAATTACTGGTCGTAAGGCCGCAAGTTCTATAAGACCATGATATATATCTCCAAAAAAAGTTCCATAATAATCGACTTAATTTTTTTTCAACAGTTAATTACAAGAAAACGGCTCTGTAGATTTTCACCTAAAACTAATCAGTACCATTCCCAACTAATATCTTTCGAACAGTTTTTGATTTTTTAAAATCGATTCGGTAGTTTGAGCTTAAATGTGGACGAAAAGTTTAACACTTTTTTCAAATTACAAAGAAACGGTTTGGCAGATCGTGATAACTGACAAACAATAGACCTCATTGAGATACATCAAATGGCTTTTAAATTTGTGAAATCGGTTCAGGCATTTTTGAGAAAACGTTGATCAAAGGTCTAATTTTGACAAATGCCAAAGAAACAAAACCAATTTTTGCAAACTTTGACGAATTTTTAAAGTTAAACAAATTGTCGTAGGGCCGTAATATTTTAGTATGATCTAGAAGACTATGGCATCTACCGTGGAAAAAATAATAATAAAAATCGTCGAAAAAATTTTTTTTAACACTTTAGTACAAGAAAACGGCCCGGCCCATCTCTACCAAAAACTCATCAGCACGATTCCCAACCAATATCTTTCGAACGGTTTTTGAATTTTCATAATCGATTCAAAATTGCGGGCTAAAACGTGGACGACAAATTTTTCACTTTTCTGCGATTTACAAAGAAACGGCTCGGCCGATCGTAGCACGGACTGACAAACGATAGTCCTTATCGAGAAACATCGAATGGCTTTTAAATTTTTGAAATCGGTCCAGCCGTTTTTGAGAAATGGTCGATTTACGGCAAAAAATCTGTTCACACACACGCCCACACACACACATAATTTTTTCAAATTTGGTCTCATACGATTCAGAATGGCTTGAAACGTCGAGAAAACATAAAATTAGCGAATCGGATTTTTTTATGAAAACATAAACTTCTCCTTCGGGAAGTTAATAAATTCTTATAAATTCAATTACAATCGAATATTATTTTATTTATTTCCTGTAAGTTATAGCAATCGTCCAAAAATCGAAATTGAAACTTTTTACATTTCTTCACGTTTCGAAGGTTTCTGAACATTTTGGCATACCTTAGAAATAATGGATGTATGTGTCTGTGTGTGTGTATGTGCGGATACCATTTTCCGTCGACCGTCGACGATTTTCAAACACGGGTCAAACAATTTAAATCGTTCAAAAAACATTCGATTCCTTTCGATAGGGAGATGTGCTGATTAGTTTTTGGCAAAGGCAGGTCCAGCCATTTGGAGATACGGAGCAAAGAGTGCAGAAAATACAAATAGAGTTTTTGATAGAACTGAGTATCCGATTTGAATGATTTAAAAAACATTTTACTTGTATTGATAAAATGAAAAATTGATTGAATTTTTAAAAAAGGCAGGTTTAGCGGTTTTGTAGATATAGAGCAAAATGTAAAAAAATGATATTTGGCGGTTTAAAATGATCATTAGACATATGCACATCGAATTATTAGATATTTTATAGAGATTTTAAACATGTGCACTAATTATTTTGGGTTCCGTACCAAGATTTTTAATTTTTAAAGTACACTTATACGGTTCAAACAAATGTCAAAATTTTCAGTTTTTTTTCAAAATTTTCAAAAATATACAAAGTTTTATACTTTAAACATAAATTTTAAATTTACAATTCAGTTTAAAAATGTATATATTTCAAAATCGTTATTCTAATCGTAAGAAATATATCCTCAGATGGATTCATTCAGCATTTCTTCTTAATGTAAACATTCTCAAGCGTTTTGAGCGATAAGATCATCACTGTATATTACATGAACGTATTTAAAACATTTTTAATTAATCATAGATCATTATTTATTGATTACTATTTTTTGCTCTAATTTTTAATTCTGGTACGGAAAGTTCCAGCAATTTGCCTTAAGGCACGATGTCATGCACCAATAGTTTAGTTTTTGGTGAGAATCAAAAATCTTATATTTAAACTGAATAGTTCAAAATTTCAACTAATAGCTATATCTCAATTTTTATTTTTTAAGTACATTATTATCTTCTATACGATACGATACGTATATATAAAAATAAGTCGGGTTTTCCTTCCTGACGATTTAACTCCAGAACGCACGAACCGATTTCGACAATTTTGCATTCGTTGGAAAGGTCTCGGGCTCCGCAAGGTTTATAACTAAGAAAATTAGTTGTGCATGGCATCGTGCATTAATGCAAATTGCTGGAACTTCACGCACCTTAATTAAAAATTCGAGTAATGGCATTAGCGAGAATTATCAGAATTATGCTAGTCAACGAGCAATTCTTGCCGCCAAGAAATATGATGTACACGCACTGAATTTCACCATTCAATCAAAAATTGCTGGCGATTTGGTGGTATACCAATGATTCCGACTGGTCTTCCGTTTGATTTCAAACGATTGCAATTTCCAGTTCGCTTTGCGTTCGCAATAACAAGTCGCAAGGCCAATCGCTTAGTGTTTGCCGGATAAATTTCAAATAGATTATTTAGAAAATCATTGTTTTTCACATGGGCAGTTATACGTTGCCTGTTCACGAATTGGAAAACCATCCGCTTTGTTTGTGTTAACGTCAGACCAAAAAACAAAAAATGTGGTTTACCAAAGAGCACTTCAATGAAACGCATAATTGGCAGATTCACTTAGAGAAGTTCAACTAAAAAACACTTCATTTTTGTAATCAAAATAAATTCATTACTTTTGTGTAATAAAATCAATTTTTTCCTTTTCAAATATAAAAAAAAAACGAAAAATTTCGTCATCTTTCTCACGAAACCATCTGGTGGCGAAACGGAGTTCGTCGGGTTTGCTAGTATATATATATATATATATATATATATATATGTACATATATCTAATATTGCAGACACAGATGAATATATCTAATTATATTCCTCTCCGGTTCGCCATTGTCCTTCCCCAATGTTTTGACTCGTCTTGATGTCTTCCTTGATGTCGAATAGAAATCCGCGATCTTCTTCGACAATGGCGATTGTTTTTTATTAAACAATGGCTCATTGTTTAGAAGGCATCTTGTTTATCCTCCATTTCGATCGGATGATTTGTCACAGGTCATGTTTTTTTTTTGGTTTTTGTTTTAACCGCGAGATTTTTTGTTCGCACATCGAATTCGAGAAACTCTGTTTAGAAAACATGAGACTTCTGTTTGAGAAAATCGATCACAACTATTACCATTATTAACAGAGGAAATTTTCTGTATCTAATTATTATTGACCCATAGTAGAGCCTTATTGTTTTAGAACGTTTGTTAGGAGGCATCCATAAGTTACGTGATAGATTTTATTTTATTAGGATTTTTGAATTCCCCTCCGCCTTGGTGACATATGATGATATTCATAATAAACCTAAAAACCTCAAGTAACTAGTTGGTATTGGTATTTAGCCTTGAGGCAAGTTACATGAACTTCCCGATATGTGTAATTAATCGACTTAATCAATAAAATATAAATTAATTTATGAATAATTAAAAGTATTCCGAGTGGATTTATTACACGTAATTGAAAAAGAACGAACACGTTAACTCGAGTATTTTCTAAAAGCAAATTAGATATGTATAATAATTTTTATAATTGAACCAGTAAACCTTTAATGGTTTAGTATGTGCATTGAGACCAAGTACCCTAGCGTTATACCAAGTAAATCGTCTAATTTTAATTTTAACAAACGTCAAAAAACTACTCATTTTCTCAAAATTTGATAAATTTTCTAAATTAAACGACTTGTCGTGAGGACGTAATATTTCTGTAAGTTCTATAAGACCATGATATACATCGACAAAGAAAGTTTCATAACAATCGGCTTAATTTTTTTTTAACAGTTAATTACAAGAAAACGGCTCGGCAGATTTTTACCTAAAACTAATTAGTATCCATTCTCAAATGATATCTTTCGAACAGTTTTTGATTTTTTAAAATCGTTTCGGTAGTATGAGCTTGAATGGGGACGACTTGTCGTAGGACCGTAATATTTTAGTATGATCTACAAGACTATGGTATCTACCGTTAAAAAAAATCATAAAAATCGTCGCTTTTTTTTCAAAACTTTATTATAAGAAAACACCCCGGCCGATCTTTACCAAAAACTAATCGGCACGATTCCCAACCAATATCTATCGAGTTTTCGAAATTTCAAAATCGATTCAGAATTGCGGGCTAAAACGTGGTCGAAAAATTTTTCACTTTTCTACGATTTACAAAGAAACGGCCTGGCCGATCGTCACACAAAACTGAAAAACGCTAGTCCTCATCAAAATACATCGAATGGCTTTTAAATTTTTGAAATCGTCTAGCCGTTTTTGGAGAAAACGTCGATTTACGGCAAAAAATGTGTGCGTGCACACGCACACACACACAGACTTTTTTCCAAATTTTGTCTCATTCGATTCAGAATGGCTTGAAACGCCGAGAAAACATAAAATTAGCGAATCTGATTTTTTTATGAACACATAAACTTCTCCTTCGGGAAGTTAATTAATGGATGGCACCTTAAGACCATGAACTGATACGTCCCTCCAAATAACTTGAAGAAAAATCGTATGAACTACGCACAAGTTAAACATTTTTTTCACACAAAATAGCGACTGTTTGAAAAAAATTTGTTCACAACTATTTTAATATTCC